TTTGCAGCTTTGCGATTGAAACCTCAACCTTACAGAAATTAGGAAAATAAGTCAGAGAGCTCCTGTGTCTGTGGCCAGCTCACCAGTCAATGCTTCACGAAGTCCCTTCAGGGGTTTTCTTCCCATGCAAAGGCTCCCTGAGGTCCTGGGGGACATTACTGAAGAACAGGACATTCTACCTACAGTGCAACACCAATAAAGTCCAGGTACAACCTGAACAGACTGGCTCCATTGAGTTTATTTCTAGTTGTTGGATCCCCCTCTCCCTCTCCTCTCCCTTCCCACCCCCACTGTCTCCTCCCCTTACCTTTCCCTCCCCCTTTCCCTCCCCCTCCTCTTCCTCTCCCATTGTGTTAGATTTTGGACTGCAGAGAACAGGAAAAATAGGAGAAAAAGAAAGACCACATCAGACCTCAACAGACAAGACTGTGCTTATTTAGCACAGCAAGGGGCAGCAACCTTCCTGCGGGATGGAAGCTGCTGGGAGGGAGAGGAGTGCTCAGAGTTGGAAATGAGGACGTGGACACAGCTGTGCTGGCCTATGTGCGGGTCAGGGCATTCTTGAGAAAAGTATGGGCCCCTCTTTCCTGGACCTTGTTTGCCCAAGAAAGATGGGCTATCTTGGGAAATGGACTATCTCAACAGTCCCCCCTGAGTTCCAGGTGTGGTTGATCAACAAAGCCACCAGCAGTCTCAAAGGACTTCTGGTTTTCTGCAGCCAGGCATTCTATCACATTGAGCCATCACACTGGCCCAGGTTTTTACTACTTGAAATAACACTTTTGGGGCTGGAGAGATGACTCAGCATTTAAGAACACTGGTTGTTCTTGCAGAAGACCCGGATTTGAATCCCAGCACCCACATGGCAGCTAGCAACTGTCCCAGGGGATCTGACAGCCTCTTCTGACTGCCTTGGGCACTGCACGACACGGGTGCACTTACCTACATGCAGGCAATACATGCATACAGATAAAATAAAAATAATAAATTTTTTTAAAGTTTTTTAAAAAATAACACTTTAAGGAACATTTTTATTTTGCCTTCTCACTTTGTGCAATTTTTTTTCTTGTTTTTGAAAGCAGTCTTTTTTTATATCATTTATCTAATTTGGGTATGTACCTCTGTACACAGAGGCCAGAAGAGAGCATCATATCCCTCAGAGCTGGAGTTACAGACTACATGGGTGCCCAGATCCAAACTGCAGTCCCCATGATTGCACAGCAACCGCTCTTAATTGCTGAACCATCTCTCCAGCCCTGAGGCAGGTCTTACAATTTAGTCCACTGGTCCTCGAACTCACAATCCTCCTGCCTCAGGTATTGGGGTCACAAAAGCATGTGCCAGTAAGTCCAGGATTCAAGTAATTATTTCTTTCTTTTGTCTTTTAATTTTGGGGGGAGGAGGTTATTTATTTTTTATTTATGGGTGTGTTTTACTGCATGTATGCAATGCCAACAGAGGCCAGGAGAGGGCGCCAAATCCCTTGGAAATGGAATTACTGACAGTTGTTAGCCACCATGTGGGAACTGGGAACTGAACCCAGATCCTCTGCAAGAGCAGCCAGTGCTCTTAACTACTAAGCCATCTCTCCAGCCTTCTCCTCTTCTTCTCCTCCCCATCCTCTCTGAACTCCTTCTTTTCTTTTGGGACAGGCTCTTATGTAGCCAAGCCTGACCTTGAACTTCTGATTTTCCTATCTCCACTTCTCAAGTGCTGAAATTAAAGGCATGCACCCCACAATGTCTGTTTTATGTGGTCCAGGAGACTGAACCCACCCACAGAGCAAGTACTCCAACAACTGAGCTACATCCTCAACACCACCTACCCTCTATCCTCCTGCCCCCATGATTTTTGCCTTGCATGTGTGTCAGTGCCTGCCTGGTGCCTGTGGAGGCCAGAAGAGGACATTGGATGGATTCCCTGAAACTGGAGTTTCCAACAGTTGTGAGTCACCAGGTTGCCTGGTGACCAAATCCAAAGCCATCTCTCTCTCCCCAGCCCCTTTTTTGACGACTTTTTTGAGATAGGGTCTCACCATGTGGCAATGGCTGGCCCAAAAATTGCTCTGTAGGTCAGGCTAGCCTCAATCTCACAGATTAGTCCTAGCCTCTGTCTCCTGAGTGCTGGGATTATAGGCCTGTTCCACCATTGTAAATCGTGTGTGTGTGTGTGTGTGTGTGTGTGTGTGTGTGTGTGTGTCTCTGTGTGTGTGTGCGCTGGAGATTGTCTCTGGGCTTACATAATGGATTCCCTGAAACTGGAGTTTCCAACAGTTGTGAGTCACCAGGTTGCCTGGTGACCAAATCCAAAGCCATCTCTCTCTCCCCAGCCCCTTTTTTGACGACTTTTTTGAGATAGGGTCTCACCATGTGGCAATGGCTGGCCCAAAAATTGCTCTGTAGGTCAGGCTAGCCTCAATCTCACAGATTAGTCCTAGCCTCTGTCTCCTGAGTGCTGGGATTATAGGCCTGTTCCACCATTGTAAATCGTGTGTGTGTGTGTGTGTGTGTGTGTGTGTGTGTGTCTGTGTCTGTGTGTATTCCTGTTGAGACAGGGTCTCTCTGTAGTTCCAGCTGGACTGGAACTCTCTATGTAGACCAGGCTGGCCTCGAACTCACAGAGATGTCTGCCTCTGCCTCCCAAGTGCTGGGATAAAAGGCATGCACCATCACACCCAGTGTACTCCTGTTTATGTATGTGAGCAGTGTGGTGGCCAGAAGTCAATCTGAGTCTTTCCATTCACCTTGTTTTTTGAGACAGGCAGGGTCTCTCACGGGAACCTGGAGTTCACCAATTAGGCTAGGCTGACTGGCCTAGGAAACCCACTTATCTGTGCCTCCCCAGTGCCGGGATAACATGTGAATGCCACCATTTCTGACTTTTTACATGGGTGTTGGGGAACTAAACTCAGGTCCTCATACTTACATGGTAAGCACTTTACTGACTGAGCCATATCCCAAGTGACTGAGATATGTCCCCAGCCCCCAAGGTTAATCTTTGCATGCATCGGAGGTATTTATTATTTTTTTATTTTTATTTTATGTGTATGATGGTTTTGCCTGCATGTATGTAAGTGCACCTGTGTCATGCAATGCCCAAGGAGATCAGAAGAAGGTGTTGGATCTCCTGGAACTGGAGTATGGACAATTGTTACCCACCAAGTGGATGCTGGAAATCAAACCCAGGTACTCTGCAAGAGTAGCCAGTGCTCCTAACCACTGAGCCATCTCTCCAGCCCTGTGTTTTGCTTTAAAAAAAAAAAAATCTGTACCAGGCATGGTGGCACACAGCTTTAATCCTAGCACTCGGGAGGTAGAGGCAGGCAGATCTCTGTGAGTTCCAGACTAGGCCAGCTGGGGCTACAAGGAGACCCTGTCTCAAAAAAAAAATTTTTTTTTTATTTGGTATAAGTGTTTTGCCCGAATGTATTTTTTTATTATTATTTTTTATTTTATGTGTATGAGTGTACTGCCTGCATGTATGTGAGTGCACCCTTGTCATGCAATGCCTCGGAGGTCAGAAGAGGGTTTCGGGTTCCCCTGGAACTGGAGTTAAAGATGGTTCATAGCTGCCATGTGGGTGCTGGGAATCGAACCCGGGTCCTCAACCACTGAGCCATCTCTCCAGCCCCCTGCCCAAATGTATTTTAAGTGCATCATATGCATGCAAATGCCCACAGAGGCCAGAAGAGGGCTTCAGATACCCTGGAACTAGAGTTACAGTTAGCTGACATGTGGGTACTGGGAACTGAACCCGGGTCCTCCACAAGAACAGCCAGTGCTCTTAACTGCTGAGCCATCTCTCCAGCTGCTCTTTCTTTCTTTTTTTTTTTTTTTCAATATGTATATATAAATCCAGCTTGGGGGCACACGCCTTTAATCCCTAAGCTTAGGAGGCAGAGGCAGGCAGATTTCTGTGAGATCAAGGCCAGCCTGGTCTACATAGCAAGTTCCAGGCCAGCTGGAGCTCCAGGTAGACCATGTCTCAAAACAAACAAGCAAAAAAAACAAAAAAAAAAGTGTATATTTTTATGTCTGTGTGGTTATGTGTGAGTGTAGGTGCCTGTGGAATCCCGAAGAGGTATTGGATCCCTTGGAGCTGGACTTACAGGTGATTATGAGCCACTCAATGTGGGTGTTGGAAGTTGAATTTGAATCCTCTACAAGAACAGTATGCACTCTTAACTACTGAGAGATGCATCTCTCCAGCCCTGATGTCATTTTTTTCTTAAGATTTAATTATTTATTTATGTATGTATGTATGTATGTATGTGTACACCACGTATATGCAGGTGCCCACAGAAGCCATAGAGAGCACTGGATCCCCTGGAGCTGGAGGTATAGGCGTTGTGACCTATCCAACATGTGTGCTGGGAACTGAATTGGGGTCCTCTGGAAGAGCAGCAAGTGCTCTTAGCTACTGAACCATCTTTCCAGCCCCTGAAGCATTGTTTGTTTGTTTGTTTGAGACAGGGTTTCTGTGTGTAGCCCTGGCTGACCCGTGTTAGGAATAGGAGTTGCAGGTAGAAAAGATGAGCAACCAACACGGACAATCCAGATTGCCCTTTATTATAGTCAATGAAGGTTGGCCAGTGACCAGCTGGACTCCGCAGCAACCACACCGGTCACTTGGCAGGAAAGTTTAAGTAAGTTAGTACACAGAAATAGAGTCATGGGGGTTGGGTAGGGGCAGAACAGCTTATAAAGGGCTTAGGGCCTGCATTGTTCACATAAGGGTCTCTTTCGATGGGAGGGGCTGTTTGCAGAAAAGGAATCACTTTACTGTTGGGGGGTTTATGGGACTTCCCATTAATCTGGAACTCACTTATGTAGACCAGCTGGCCTGGAACTCAACAGAGATCCACATGCCTTTTCCCTCCTGAGTGCTGGGATCAGGGGTATACCCCCTTAGGTGTGCTTTTGCGGAATGCAGAACCTCCGTCTGTGCTCTTTGCATCTGTCACTAGAGGGAGCCCCTGGTCCACCGACTAAAGTACTTACCAACGGGGAGGTGGTGTCTCTACCCAGGAACTCAAGCTTCAGCAGCTGTGGAAACACAGGAAAGTGATTCCTGTCAGTTCCCTACCCAGGGGTGCAGACCTTCAAGTTGGAAAGGAAATGCTTGACTGCTTTAGAGTCAGGCTGCCATGGACTAGAGAACCTTCTGGAATTAACACAGGATAAAAGGATGTTCAACCTTTCTGGGAGGATAGAAAAAAAGAATGGACACAGTTATATTTGTTCAGGATTGCCAGATATTTTGAAGACTGCTAATATTTAGGCTCACTCTTTCTCTTTTTATTCAAAAGAGAGGCAATTTTTAACACATTTTTCCACAAATAACTTGAAGCGGGATACATAAATATATATATACAGGAGGCTGGAGAGATGGCTCAGCAGATAAGAACACTGATTGTTCTTCCAAAAGACCTGGGTTCAAATCCCAGCACACACATGGCAGCTAACAACTGTCCGTAACGCCAGTCCCAGGGGATCCAACAGCCTCTTCTGACCTCCGCAGACATTGCATGACACGGGTGCACTTACCTACCTGCAGGCAATACATGCATACACATAAAATAATAATAATAAAATTTAAAATATATGTCTACACAAACGTCAGGCGTGGTGGTGCACACCTTTGGTCCCAGCACTTGGGAGGCAGACCTGGTTTACATAGTGAGTTCAGGCCAGCTGGGGATACAGGGAGAACCCATCTCAAAAAGACAAAAAAAAAAAAAAAAAAAAAAAAAAAAAAAAGGAAAGTGACATTTTAATCAAGAGTTACAGGAAAGCTGAGTGTGGTGGTGCACCTCTTTAATCCCAGCACTCAAGAGGTGGAGGTAGGTGAATCTCTGTGAGTTCAAGACCAGTCTGATCTAGGTAGCAAGTTTCAGGCCATCTAGGCTGCAGAGTGAAACCTATCTTTAAAAAAAAGCCTGGTGTGTGGTGGTGCACACCTTTAATCCCAGCATTTGGGAGGCAGAGGCAGGAGAATTCTGAGTTCAAGGGCAACCTGGTCTACATAGTGAGTTCCAGGACAGTGGGGGCTACAGGGAGACTCTATCTCAAAAAGACCAAAAAAACAAAAAAGATTTTTTTATTTTATGTGTGTATGCATGCATGTATGTATGTGGAACATGTGTGTGCTAGCCTACAGAAGCCAGAAAAGGGTGTTAAATCCCCTGGCAGTTGTGAGCTGCCTGGTGTGGGTGCTGAGACTCAACTCTGCAAGGACAGCAAGTGCTCTTAACCACCAAACCATTTCTGCATCCCTAAACATCACTTAAAAAAAATTATGTTTATGAGTGTATTGCCTGCATATATGTAAGTGCACTTACAATGCCTGAGGAGTCAGATGAGGGCGTCAGATCCCCCGGGGAACGGGAGTTATGGACGGTTGCTAGCCACCACGTGGGTGCTGGGAACTGAACACCAGACCTCTAAGAGTAGCCAGTGCTCTTAACCGCTGAGTCATCTCTCCAGACCCAACATCACCTTCTTAAGAATTCCAACTCAGATCCTCACAGCACTTTACCTACGGAGCCATCCCCAGACCCTCTACTGCCTTTTTTTTTTTTTTTTTTTTTTTTTGAGACAGAGTCTCATGTAGCACAAGCTGGCCTCAAGCTTTAGCAGAAGATGACTTTGAGCTTCTGATCGCCTGTGTCCACCACCCAAGTGCTGGGATTACAAGTGTATGCCACCACTCCTGGTTTATGTGGTGCTAGGAGCACTCTACCAAGCAAGCTACATCCCCAGTCCTTGACAGAAGCCACTTAAGGAAGGACTGCTCTTTGGCTCACAGTTTGAGAGTACACATCGAGGCTTGGAGGAAGTTACTAGCAGGGAACACCTCACTTAAAGCCCTGCCCTGGGATTTTAATAACTTCCTCCCTTGGCATCCCAAGGGCTCTCAGTGTCCATTAGACACACAGGGAAACGGGTCTGGCAAGAGTCAGAGGTCACACACTAGAGGCCTTCGGAGTCATTCAACCTGGTTTGGAGACTTCCTGGACCACACCACAAAATGGCGCCTCGTAGACAAATATAGCGGACTTCCGGCGTCCACCCGGACCCCTGCCTGGAGAGCCGCGAGCCAAACCCACCAGGGAACACCTCACTTAAAGCCCTGCCCTGGGATTTTAATAACTTCCTCCCTTGGCATCCCAAGGGCTCTCAGTGTCCATTAGACACACAGGGAAACGGGTCAGGCAAGAGTCAGAGGTCACACACTAGAGGCCTTCAGAGTCATTCAACCTGGTTTGGAGACTTCCTGGACCACACCACAAAATGGCGCCTCGTAGACAAATATAGCGGACTTCCGGCGTCCACCCGGACCCCTGCCTGGAGAGCCGCGAGCCAAACCCACGTACTTATTTGCATACACGCACAAAAAAATAGAGGAATCTCATTGGCCACGGCCGGGAGGTCCATCACACTACACTGACTGCCCATTAGTTACTCTTCACTCCTGCCCGCCCCACAGGCCTCCTCCTCCCCCAGATTGGTCTGTGCGAGTCTTATGACCCGCGAGATGAAGACCGCTTGTTTCTATTGGGCCAGGGAGCCGTCCATCACATATTTAAACCCCTCAAGTCCCACCTGTCCTCAGCCCCGCCCCCTGGGCGACCGTTACTCTTGTCCGCGACTTCCTCGGCGTTGGGGCGCGCGCGCATGCCAGGCGTCTCATTCAAACGACCCAATCAGCTGCCGCGTCGCTTCCCTGGTCCCCCGTTTCCCTCCAACTGCGGGTTCTCAGCACCCCAGTTCTTCCGGGTCCCGTCCTCAGCTCGCCTTTGCCCTCATTGCATAGCCTGCCCCGCAGCCCACTCAGGAACTTCAGCCTGCGCGGAGACGAGGGAAGCGCGCGCCAAACGCCGGGCAACGTGCGCGCTGACGTCAGGGGTCGAGGCACGGCGCCGGGTGGGGGGGGCGTGGCTTGCGAACGGCTATAAACCGCCGTGTTGCGCGCGCGGCCCGCTCAGCGCGGCCGAGGTGGCGTAACGTTGTGAGTGTTTTGTGGCGGGCGTCTGAGTTGGTGGGGAGCGGAGCGCGGCCGCCGGGGGCCTTGCCAGGGCCACAGCGGCCGGCAGTTGGGCCCCCCGCCCCGGCCAGCGCCCGGAAGCGTGCGAGAAAGGGGCCGGGGGGACCCGCCCCCGGCCGGCCGAAGTCATGGTGAGCGGGGCGTCGGGCCTAAGGGGCGGGGGTCTGGCGAGGGGGGGGGGACCCCGGGCCGAGGAGACAAGAGTCTCAAGGGCTTCCCGCGGGCTTCTGGGAGCCGTAGCAGGACACGCGTGGCCGTCCTGCGGCGGGAGTGGGCCCCGCGGCCTTCCCCCAGGCCCGCCCGTGGGTGTTTGCAGGAGCGAGACGCCCAGCCGCCATTTCGCCCAGGTCTTGGGACGGGGACGCAGCCCAGGCCTCAGGACCGCCCCGAGCACTGGGGAACCCGTTCGGGGCTTCCGAGGACTGTTTTGGAAGATGGTTATCCCCCCACCCCGGTGGGGGCCGCCTCCGAGATTGGGCTGGGACCGCGGTCTGAGCACCCTGGGGAGGGTCCTGTCCTGGCAGCCGGGCACCTGCAGCGTCACGACTAGCCCCAGCCCTCTGCCGGCTCCTTGACCTCCTCTCCCCCCTACCCCTCGCCCAGAACTCCAACGTAGAGAACCTGCCTCCGCACATCATCCGCCTGGTGTACAAGGAGGTGACCACCCTGACTGCCGACCCGCCGGACGGCATTAAGGTCTTTCCCAACGAGGAGGACCTCACCGACCTGCAGGTCACCATCGAGGGACCTGGTGAGTGTGGGCTCGAAGAGACGAGGGCCACTTGGATGCCCTCTGTCCTGTGGCCGTGGAACACACAGCACCCCCCATAGGACTTATGGCTGGGGAGGAAGTGTAGGCAGGTCAAGCGCAGCGGGCTAGGCTCATGGTGCACTTCCTAGAGCACCGCAAACGACAGTTAAGTACGGCTCCTTTTCCAGGAAGAGTTGAGAAGGTCCTGGGCACTGTGCACATAGTGGAGCCCTTGCCTGGGATCTGAGGCATGAGACTTTCCAGGGATCTGAGGATGAGGTAGGGAGTCGGTAGACATGGAGAGAGTGCCCACCTGTGGGAATAACATGAGCAAAGACCTGTTGGCATAATCTAGATGATGGACTTGGCCAGGCTAGCAAGCCTCAGCATAAGAGAAACAGTTGACAATAAACTGATCACCTGTGGTGGTTGGGCAGAGAAGGTAGAATTTAGTTCTGTCGTACCACATTTCTCTTGTCACCTCGATGTCAGCTAAGCAGTGTTATGAGATCCTGTGAGGAAGAGGGCTAGTCTGCAGTGATGACAGTGACAGAAATTCACATTTTGTTACACTGTGGTTGTTGTTTTGAGACAGGGTCCCCATGTAGGCACAGCTGGCCTGGAACTCACTCCATAGACCAGGCTGGCCTTGAATAGATCAACCTGCCTCTGCCTACCCAGTGCTGGGATTAAAGGTGTCTGCCACCATGCTGGGCTCCTACCACTTTTGACCCAAGCACATAGGTATATGAAATAACTGTTTGTTGAGGCCTGGGAATCAGCAGAAATGGTTTGCATAAGTGGGCACTGAGCTGAGGTCCCTGCCTCCTGAGTAGCATGTGCCTGAGGTAGCCACATGGAAGAGAAAATGGGCATCCGGGGGGGTGTGGGCTGTAGGGCAGGGCATGCATCCAAGGTGTAGGGAGATGCCCCTGGGGGACCTGTTGCTTTGTTACTATCAGTAATTCCTGCAGCCTGTGAAGGAGTTGGGATCCTAAGGGATAAAAGGTGCCTCCTTAACCTAGTTTTCCTTCTTCCCACTGCAGAGGGAACCCCCTATGCTGGGGGCCTGTTCCGTATGAAGCTCCTACTGGGCAAGGACTTCCCTGCCTCCCCTCCCAAGGGCTACTTCCTAACTAAGATCTTCCACCCTAATGTGGGTGCCAATGGTGAGATCTGCGTCAACGTGCTTAAGAGGGACTGGACTGCTGAGCTGGGCATCCGTCATGTGCTGCTGGTAAGTTTCCGCCCCAAAGTCCACTGTAGAGTTGTGGAAGACAGAGTCACAAAGAAATTAGGTTCCCAGCCTTCTATAAAACTATGGACACCTGTTGTCCTGTTGTGCACAGTGTCAGGGGCACCTCACCTCTGTTAACAAGTGTAGGTTTGGTTTGTATGGTAGGACAGTTTCGTGGCAGATAGAGCAGTGTATGATTAGAGGCTTTTTTTTTTTTTTGCGGGGGGGGGGTGTCTTTTTGAGACAGGGTCTCCCTGTAGCCCCAGCTGTCCTGGAACTCACTAGGTAGACTAGTCTGGCTTTGAACTCAGAGATCCCCTGCCTCTGCCTCCCAAGAGCTGGGATTAAAGGTGTGCGCCACGCCCGGCTGGTTAGAGGCTTTTTAAATGCAAGAAAGTTCACCAGCTTTAATAGCTTTGCTCTGTAGCTCTCAGGCAGGCCTTGAACTTTATTGTGATCCTTCAGCGGTAGCTGCCACATCTCTTGACCCAAGCAAGTGGGTAAATGAAACAAGCTCCCCAGAAACTGGGATTATAACATTGTGTCACCCGCTCAACTGAGTAGAAGGGATTTTTTGTTGTTTCAAAAACAGTAACAGAGTTTGTGCAGCAAATCACCACTGTCTGTTTTCTTGCACCAGTGTTTCTCAGCCAGGGGTGACTTTGCCCCCCAGGGACATTTTGCAGTGTCAGGAGACATGCTTGGCTGTGAGTACTCTGGAGTGGGGTGCTGCTGGCATCTTGTATGGATGCTGGGGACACTGCTCAGCATCTGGGCATAGGACTCCCCCCACAGTGTGCTGTTGTTGACTGAGGTGGAGACATCTGGTCTAGGCCTGTGCTCTAAGGTCTCTAAAGGCCACTTAAAGCATTTAGGTCACCTGGTGTCTCTTTTGCCCCTCCTACAAGCTTAAAATTCTTAATTTCTAACGAGCCTCTAGGGCCGATGGTAGTGAAGATGGAGAATTGGGGTTTCCTTCAGGGCACCTGGAAAGGATTAAGCTCCAAGGTAAACAGACCCAGAACCTATTTCGCTTTGCGTTCCTCTGCCTATGTGGCAGTTTAGTTTAGCAGTGCTGGGACTGCTGGCTAGTGGGTTTGCTTTTTTATGTGAGCTGTAGCACAGGTGGCCAGGCCTCCAGTTTGGGGCTGCAGTGGTGTGGTAAGAGATTGTGGTTGGCGGGGGGTCCCCGCATCCCTTGTCAGCATCAGTAATATCTAAGCCAGGTACTTTGGGTGTGTCAGAGCAGTTCATTAGAAGCACCTGTTAATAGCCATTAGTTCAAGAGCCGACTTGTTCTTGGGGTCTTCAGGGCTAACAACTGGAGTGGATGGAGAAAGCACACTTGGGGCCGCCTGCAGTCATACCTTGGACCTTCATTTCAGGATGGGCTAATGAAGGGGTATTGAGAAAACCTGACTGCTTCCTGGGCTATGTTTGATACAACTCAGACTGCCAGGCCCCTTTATGTACATCATAGTGTTTGGGTAAATTCATGTCTACTATATTCGTACAGCTCTGAATTTACGGTCTCTGGTAAAGCCAGTGACAGCTCTGCGTTTTTGTAGCCTACATGACACTGTAGGGAGATGGGGTGTGATTTCTCTAATCCTAAGTGCCCTGGAGTAATTTCCCCTCTAGTTCAGATCCCTGAACTCATTCACCTATACAGAGGTAAGGCCAAAGCCACAGTAGTGCTCAAGGCTGTGCTGGGGTAATGGGCTATTGTGGTGGCCATGAAGTTGGACAAGCCCTACTGACCTGGACCCTTTGCCCACAGACCATCAAGTGCCTGCTGATCCACCCTAACCCCGAGTCTGCACTCAATGAGGAGGCAGGCCGCCTGCTTCTGGAGAACTACGAAGAGTATGCTGCCCGAGCCCGGCTGCTCACAGAGATCCATGGTGGCGCAGGTGGCAGCAGCAGTGGGAGAGCTGAGGCCACCTGGGCCCTGGCCAGTGGCGCTACAGCCTCTTCCACCGACCCCATGGCCCCTGGGGGCCTAGGAGGAGCTGATGGTCCCATGGCCAAGAAGCATGCAGGCGATCGAGATAAGAAGCTGGCAGCTAAGAAAAAGATGGACAAGAAGCGGGCACTGAGGCGACTGTAGTGGGCTTTACTCCCCCCTCCCTGCTGTTCTGTCCCCTCCCACTCTGTCTCTAAGTTATTTAAATTATGGGTGGGGGAGGGAGTTGGGGAGGGACTGGGATCTGGATTTGTTTTGTTTTCTAAATAAAGTTGGAAAAGCAGCTTTATGACTGAAGGTGCTGAGTACCTCTGCCCACTTTGTGGTTCAAAGCAGTAGGTGTTCTGCTCTGCCCTTAGCTAGTCCCTGCAGAGGACTGCATCCCTGTTTGGGATGGAGTCACCTGTCCTGTGGAGTGGGACAGATGACCTTTTTCTGGAGATTTACAATTAAAATGGAGCTTGCGCCCTGGCACCTGAGCAGTCCTGTTACCCATTAATGCTTTTTTTTCCCTTTGTGTAGAACAACCTGGATGGTTTGCATTTGTGCATGTCAAACCCCATGGCTTCACAGTACCTGTTAAGGTTTGCTGTTTCAGACTTTAGGCTAAATGTGAAGTATATGCTGGCTGTGTTCCTTCTCATGTGGTGGTTGGCGAATGGCAATTCTGTGGCAGCAATAGAACTCTTCTAGGAACAGCCCCTCTCACCATGTCATTTTAGGCGTAATAGCCCATCATAGTCTGGGGGTTGTTGTCACCTAAGGGGAAAGGGGTTATCCTGGCTCTGCACCAGGGGGGTGTTAATAAGATTTCTGTTAATAAGCTTAGGTTATTTTAAAGTTTTTTTTTTTTTTTTTTTTTGTCTTTTTAAGATTCACTATGTAGACCAGGCTGCCCTTGAACTCACGGAGATCCTCCTGCCTCTGACTCCCAAATGCTGGGATTAAAGGCATGCACCACCATGCCCAGTTTAAAGTTTCATTTTATAAAGGGAGAGGAAGGGTAGAGAGCTGGCTACTGTTCTTGCAGAAGATCCAGGTTCAAATCCCAGGACCCACATGGTGGCTAACAACTGTCTGTAAATCCAGTTCCAGGGGATCCAACAGCCTCTTCTGTCCTCTGTGGGCATTGCAGGACACTGGTGCACTTACCTACATGCAGGCAATGCACGCATACACATAAAAAATAGAATAAAAAGGACAGGCTGGTGGCAGCTGGTTAAGGCTGCCCAGCCTGATCTCTGAACTCACATGAAGGAAGGTGAAAGGCAGTTCCCCCAGGGGGCCAATGAATAGAAATGTGCCATAGCACATGCAAAGGGAGAGAATGTGTTAAATTGTGGGGGAGATAGAATACTTCGGTTGGGCATCGTGGCGCATACCTTCAGTCCTAGCATTCAGAAACTAGAGGCTGGTGGATCTGAGTTGGAGGCCATCCTGGTACATGGTAAAATCACATGAGTAAGGATGAACTGAAAGTAACCTGTTAAGCCAGTATAACCTAGAATAACAGCCAGTTGCAATTTTTTTTTCTGAGACAATCTCATGTAACCCACACAAACCTGACATTCACTGTGTAGCCAAGGATGGCCCTGAATTTGGTATGGGGGTGGGTGGGTTCAGTTATGTGCACTTCCTTGGAGACCACAGGTTCCCAAGGGCAATGTGAGCCATCTGATGTGACTGCTGGGAACCGAACCTGGGTCCTGTGAAGAACAGCAAGTGCTCTTAGTCCCTGAGCCATCTCTCTAGCCAGGCCTTGAACTTTTACTCCTGCTGGGGTTTGGGATCAGGGAAATAAATGTATATTGCTAGGCAAGCACTTTACCCTTTTTTTAAAAAAAAATTATTTTATGTGTATTGTGTATTGCCTGCATGTAGGTAAGTATACCTGTGTCATGCAGTGCCCAGAGGTCAGATGAGGCTGTAGGATTCCCTGGGACTGGAGTTACGGACAGTTGTTAGCTGCCATGTGGGTGCTGGGATTCGAACCTAGGTCTTCTGCAAGAACAACCAGTGTTCTAAACCACTGAGCCATCTCTCCAGCCCCAACTTTACCCTTTTAGATATCTAGCCCCCACAGATCTTAGGTATTTTGTTAGTTTTTTTTTCAGAGTCTGTAGCCAGGGCTATCCTCAAACTTGCCCTGTAGGCGAGGATGGCTTTGAACTCCTGATCTTCCTACCTTCACTTCCCAAGTGCTGGGATTACAGTTAGGAGGTATCTTGAAAGTTGCTGTTCAGATTAAGATGCTAATGGCTACTATGTATGCGTGGACATTTCAGAACAGGTGAGGGCAGGTAGATTGAGTTCAGAGTCATCCAATAGGCAACAAGAGACTTCTTTTTTATGTGTATGAGTGTATTGTCTGCATGCATGTATGTATGTGTACCTGTGTTGTGCAATGCCTGCAGAGATCAGAAATGGTCAGAAGACACCATCAAATTCCCTTGGAATTGGAGTTGTGGACAGTTAGCCACCATGTGAGGGATGGAAACTGAACCTGGGTCCTCTGTAAGAGCATCCAGTGTGCTTTAAACACTAAGCCCCTCCCCTACCCTCCCCCCCCTTTTTTTTATATGCCATTTTGTGGAACATGCCTGGGATCCCAGCACTGAGGATACAGAAACAGGAAGGACTGAGGTTTGAGTTCAGCTTTGGGGACACAAGGAGGGCAAGAGACATGGCTCACGGCTGAGTGGTTAAGAGCACTTACCTGCTCTTCCAGAGGACATTGGCTTGGTTCCTAGCACCCACATGATGGCTAACTCTAGTTCCAGGGGATCCCACACTGTCTGGCCTCCCTGGGCACCAGGCATGCACATAGTACACTTGTATACAAACAGGCAAAACATTCATACACATAAAACTTTAAAAAAAAAAAACAGCCAACACAACAGATGCCTGTAATACCAGCACTTTGGAGATAGCTAAAGGCAGGATCAAGAGCTTGAAGTCATCTTCAGCTCCAAAACAAGTTGGGAAGCCAGCCTGGGCTACGTGAGACCCTGTTTCCTGTTTTAAAGAAAAGAAAGAAGACTGGAAAACATTTTAGGTATGATGGTTCATATCTGTAATCCTAGTACTTGGGAGGCTGAGGTAGGAGGATGGCCAAAAGTTGGAGGCCAGACTGGGTTACAGATTAAAACAGTCTCAAATCCTAGCACTTGGGAGGGAGAGGCAGGTGAATCTCTTGAGTTTAAAGCCAGCCTGGTCTACATAGTGTGTTCCAGGCCAGCTGGGGCTACAGAAAGACCCTGTCTCAAAAAGGCTGAAAAAATCGCCGGGTGTAGTGGTGTATGCCTTTAATCCCAGCATGTGGGAGGCAGAGGCAGGCGGATCTCTGAGTTCAAGGCCAGCCGGGTCTACATGGTGAGTTCCAGGACAACTGGGACTACAGGGAGACCTTGTCTCAAAAAGACCAAAAAAAAGTAAAAAAAAAAAAAGCTGAAAAAACCTATTGTCTCAAAAAAGAGGGCCTAGCTGGGCTTTGTGGCACACACTTTTAATCCCAACACATGGAAGGCAAAAAAGGCAGCTCTGAGTTTGAGGCAACCTGGTCTACATAGCAGGTCTCTGTCTCAGAAAACCAAAAAGAAAAAAAAGAGGGTTAGGAAGATGGCTCAGTGGTTAGGAACATTTGTTCCACAATGCTGAGGACTGGAGTGCAGATCCTAGTACCCACTGGGCATTTACCAGTGTTTCCCAATGCTCAGGGGCATAGAGACAGAAGGACCACTAGGGATTGCTGGCTTCCAGCCTGGCAGACTCAAGTCCCAGGTTCAGGAAGAGAACCTGTGGGGCTGGAGAGATGGCTCAGAGGTTAAGAGCACTGGCTGCTCTTCAGAGGACCCAGGTTCAATTCCTAGCACCCACATGGCGGCTACAAACTGTCCTTAACTCCTCTTCTGACCTCTGCGGCATTGCATGACACAGGTGCGCTCACATACATGCAGGCAATACACTTGTACACATAAAAGTAATATTAAAAAAAAAAAAAACCACTGGTGGTTCTTGTAGAAGACCCGGGTTTGAATCCCAGCACCCACATGGCAGCTCACAACTGTGACTCCAGTTCCAGGGGATGTGTGTGTATGCACATAAGTGCAGATGCCCACAGAGGAAGAAATGTTGGATATCCCTGCAGCTGGAGTTAGAGGCAGTTGTAATCACCTGACATTACTGCTGAGAACCAAACTTAGGTCCTGTCCAAGAGCAGTATGTGCTCTTAACCGCTAAGACATCTCTCCAGTTCCTGAAGATATTTTAAAAATGTAGAAGCTGGGTCTTGTGGACCAGGCCTGAAATCCCAGCTACTTGAGACACTTAAGGTGGTAGAGTTCCAAATTTAAGACTGTCCTGGACTACAGAGCAACTTCAGAGTCAGCCTGGACAATTTAGCAAGATCTTGTCTCAGTAGATAGTGCTGACTTTTCAGGGGGTGTTGGAACTCACTATGTAGACCAGGCTGGCCTTGAACTCAGAGGTCTGCCTGCCTCTGCCTCCCGAGTGCTGGGATTAAAGGCATGCACCACCACACCCAGCAAAACAAATTTTTTAAAAGTAGAGGGGGCAGGCACGGCTATTTCAGAGGGATTTTTTGTTTTTGAGACAGGATCTCCCTGTAGCCCCAGTTGGCATAGAAACTAGAACTGGCTATATAGACTAGACTGGACTTAATCTTAGAGAGATCCGCTGCCTCTGCCTCCTGAATGGTGGGATTAAAGGCATGCACCACCATGCCTGGCAATTTCAGCGTTTCTTCGAACATGATGTATGGTATAGACAACAATAAATAACTAAAAGCAGCAATGTGTATGGCACGTCCAGGACCAGCAGCAGACACCTCAAGGTTGGAGAGCCAGCAGCACATTCCAGTGTGGTGTTTGGAGTCACAACTTTCAGCATATGGGCAAGGCTGGCTTCAAACTAGCCTCTTAAAGCAGCCTTCTGAATGCTGTGATTCGAGACATGTGCTTCTGCCCGGCTATTATTTCTAGAAGTACAGGAAATTATGACACTAAGCATCCCTCTAGCCAATCTCTGCATTCAACATGCTCAAAGTAAGAAAAATGCCATTATTTTACTGGAAGAGGACCTAGGTCAAGGGCTGTGGGCAGGGTGTACAGAAGAGGGCAGCTCAGCAGGCATGGGTCACTCAAACCACTGCTCATGCCAAAGGAAGGCTTGTCTGTATCTGAACTTTCACCTACTCCTGGAATATCCTATTGGTGTTTCCGTCTACTTGATGAACGATCATAATCACTGTACCAGCATAACCTCTGGGGAAGGAGACGGCTCCTGTGGGTGCCCTGTGCCCATGGACCAAGGCTTCGGGGAGCACTTCTGGTGTGATGTTAATGTACCCTGTTGCTGGGATTTGTTTCCTGTGTACTCCATACCAAGTCTATGGTGTGTATGTAACAAAAACTGGAACCAGCAGGATTACTAGAAAAGTGATCTATATCCATTGCATACCAGGAACTGTATTGGGTCCTGGGTGACACACAGAAGTTCCAAGTTGGTGCTCATCCGGTGTGGAGGCAGACATGTAAACTACACATCAAAAGGAACACTGAACATACTGCATGACAGGATGAAAGGCATAATAAACCATACCCAGGGGCTGGAGAGATGGATCAGTGGTTAAGAGCACTGGCAGCTCTTCCAGAGGACCTGGGTTAGCTCCCTGCACATGGTGGCTATAACTCCAATTCCTGGGCATCTGATGCCCTCTTCTGGGCTCTCTGGGCACCAGGCATTCACATATCCATCCAAGAAAACAAGTTTTTAAAAAATCAGATCTGGGGCTGGAGATGGCTTAGCCTCTAAGACCACTGACTGCTCTTGTAAAAGACCCAGGTTCGATTCCCAGCAACCACATGGTGGCTATGAACTGTCCTTAACTGCAGTTCCAGGGGAATCTGATGCCCTCTTCTGACATCTGCCACATGACATGGTATACTCACATGCATGCAGTCAATACACTCATACTCCACTGAGCTGTGGAATAGGTAAGGTCATGAAATGACAGCAACAATGGTGTGAATAGCTTTCCCCATATGGGCCTCATGTTCTCCATCTACAAAGTGGGCACACTGGCTTCACAGGACAACTGGCCATCAGGTGAGAAATGACCACCCTTCACACACTGAAGATTTTTATGCCCCACACTCACCTAATACAGAGTACCTCTTCTATTTTCAGACAGGGTCTCCCTGTAGCTCCAGCTAATTTGTACAACTATGTAGACCAGGATTATCTCAATGTTGGGATTAAGATGTGGGTCACCATTCCAAGCTCTATTAATGGCAGGGTCTTAACTGTGTAGCCCTGGCTGGGCTCCAGCTCAGATTCACCTGTCTGACTCCAGAGTTGGAATTAAAGGCCATGAGCTTCCATGCCCAACCCAATGGTTCATTTACTTTACTAGGCTTTTAAATTTTTATTTTTGTATGTGTTTTGCCTATGTGTGTCTTTTTCTTTAATATTTATATGTTGGTCTTTTTGAGACAGGGCTTCCCTGTAGCCCCAGCTGGCCTGGAAACTGCCTACATAGATGAGGCTGGCCTTGAACTCCCAGAGATCCACCTGCTGAGATTAAAGGTGTATATCACCACACCTGGCTGCCTAAGTGTATCCGATCTGGGGCTATGTGGGTGCTGGGACACAAACCTGGGTTCTCTGCAAGAGCAGCCAGTGCTCTTAACCACTTAGCCGTCTCTCCAGCAGCAAATTTTACATTAAATAGGATTTACCTATGTAGTTCAGGCTAGCCTTAATCCCAAGGTTCTCTTGTCCCAGGATACTCAAAATTGTAAGCACACACCACACAAACTCAGCTTTTGACTACATTGGTGTAAATGATATATATTCAGTAAAAGCTGACTTTGAATGTTGACCTTTTCCTGGGCCAGCAGCACATGGTTTAACTCATATACAAAAACTGACTGGACTATAGAAAGCCCCAGGTACCCCCAGCCACTATCCCACTGTGCTGTGCTACTAACCTGTTCAGCAGAAGACAGAGCTGAGATCTAAGACACCATCAAGCTCAGGCCAGGACTCCATTCATCAGACACTGTGCTGGCCAGAAGCTGGCAGCCACCAGTCTTAGGCTGCTCCCCCCTAACCTAAGGCACTGGTCTCCACAATCCTTGCACAGCATCCCCCTCTCCACTCCAGGTGTCCAAAGGGTTTAAACCCTGCTATGACACCACAGGCCCCAAGTGGCCCTGTGACCAGCTTTCAGCCTGCACCCTTCCAGCTAAAGACACCCCTCTAGCCTCTAAAGGGAGGATTTGCCTGTATGAACCTTTTAGGCACTCAAAAAGGTATGAAGGGTTTGTACCAAAGGTCAGAGGGCCTGTTCTGGAAAGAGTAATGACTTAACACTCCCTGCCAGTCCAACCGTGACATCCCAACTGAGTTTTGGTGACACAGCCTGAGTGACAGCACACAAGTCAGAGCTCAAGGACCCACACAAAAGGAGGGCCTGCTGGGCATGGTGGCACATGCCTTTAATCCCAGCACTTGGGAAGCAGAGGCAGGCGGATCTCTGTGAGTTCAAGGCCAGCCTGATCTACATAGTGAGTTCCAGGCCAGCTGGGGCTACAGGGAGACCCTTTCTCAAAACAGACAGGGGGTGAAAAAAAAGGGCCAGTGGAGGTGATTGACAAAGTCAGTGATTCTTTATTGCTTCTGGGGCAGGGGACTCAGGAGCTCTTAGTGGGGCGGGTCCGCTTCCTCTTCACCACCACGGGCTTCTGGCTTCGCAGGATGGCACTGGCCCGGCGGATGGCAGCCTGAAGGGGAGGACAGGACACCAGGCTCAGCTTACCCACTCACAAGACACCCCTACCTGCTGCCTGCTTCCCAGGCCCTGAAGAAGTAACTAGGGCTGAGATTCAGAGGACACCCCTACAACTCAGGTTTAGCTACTAAGCAAAGAGCACTGACCTGGCTGGCACCCATCCACTCCATCCAAGTGCAGCAGCACCAGTTGACCTCTTCTTGCCCACCTGTCACTCACCATGCGCAGATCAGGCCGGTACTTGTTCTTGCGGATCATATGCCTGATGCTGCTGAGGGTGGCCCTGGCATTCTTGTTGATGGTGGTCCTCACATAGGACGTAGCTGGCTTTCGCTGGCCTAGTGAGGAGACACTGCATCAGTCCACCTGCCTAGGTCTTCAGTGCATTTCCCAGGTACAAACACACCTTACCCAAGAAACCCAGGACTCTTGTCCAGCCCTTTTCTCCACATACCCTCAGCACTCACTGGGTGATCCCTCCATGTCAGTTCCAACCAAAACCTGAGGAAAACCCATTCCTCACTCCAAAAACCCTAGACAGAGAACCAGTGTGTACCTCAAGTACCCTGTTTGTCTGCCTCCTACTCCCTGGGAAGATGCCCCAAAATTTGTTTGTGCCTCCAAGTTTGAAGGAGGTCAAGTGTCCTGAACTGACCGACTGACTGGGAAGGTGATGGAACTGATTTCTACCCAAACTGACACCTCCATGTGAAGGGCAGCTTCAATTTTCTCGTCTGTGAGGTGCAAAGAGATCCATCCCTACCTGATGTAGCCTGCGAATTTAATCTGAAAACATCAGTCACCCAAAGCTCAGGGTCTAATTGCTTGCCGGCTCACACCGCTGACAAGTCAGAGAGGGAGGGCTGAAGCTTCTTTCCCAGGCCCAAGCCCCTGAGGCCAGGGATGCTCTGCCTCCAGGAAGGCAACCTCCTGTCTGCAAAAAGGCTCACCAGATCTTCGCTTCATGACCACCACTACCCCTTTGCCGTCGGCCGCGGGCTCCACTCCCACGGTCTTACGGTGAATCAGTCCGTTGTAGCGGAAGGAGTTTCGGGCCTTCAGATTATTGGGCTCCTGGAAAGGTGCGGAAGGTGAATTAACGATTAGCGGGATCACTTCCTGTGACCCGAAATGGAGGACCCCCCAGGACCGTGCGACCACCGGGCACACTCACGGTGCTGTACGTCTGTTTGTTCCTCTTGATCAGGAAACTCGAGCAGTTCCGCACGACCATCCATTGCAGATGCGCCGACATGGCGGCTGCGGGGAAACGAGGCACGTGAGCTAAGGCACACCGTGAGCTAAGCAGGGCGCGGCTAGGCCCCTAGACGAATGGGAGCCCCGCCGGGCGGGAATGACCGACCGAAGGCGGAGGGCCGAACTAAGGCGTCCGCGGCTGCGGGGAACCAGACCCCCACTTCCGGTGGCGGACCTGCGGGTCTGTGAATAGCGCTTGGGGCACAAGGGAAGAAATCAGGCTGCGGGCAAGGGCAGTGCGCGGCGGGGGCGAGATGGCGGTGGCCACGCGGGGCGAGGGCTCACGCTCACCTCCTCTCGCTACAGCGGCCGGAGACGGAAAGAGGCTCATTGGGGGCGGGACGATGCCTTTAATACCGAAACGCATTTCCGCTTCCTCCCAGGGCCGCAGAAGTCGCCGCTCTCGCTTCCTCCCTTCCTTGTGTTCCGCCGCGCAGCGTTCGGAAGCCTTCGGCAAACTTCGGCTGGAGAGCTGGAAGCGCGTTCTCACGGAGGAACACGGCCGTTCGGTTGGCCTTTTGGAAGTTTTCGGGTGGTTCCAAACTGAGGCATCGCTTCAACCACCACTTGGCGCGTGGTGGGCGCTAAGTAAACACTTTTTGAGACAGGGTCTTGCTGTCTAGGCTAGTTTCCAGTTCACGAAGGCTGGGGATTCCAGGATTGCGTCATTGTGCATGGTTTTAAGACTTGGTTTTTGTTGGCGGTTTTAGGGGGGTTGTTTTCTGGAGGGGGGAGGGCGTGAGGGTTAAGACAGGGTCTAACTATGTAGTGTTGGCTAGGGTTGGAACTCACAGAGCTCTACCTGCCTCTGCCTCTAGAATGCTGGGATTAAAGGGGTGCGCCACCACAGCAGGCTTGTTTTGTGTTTAAAAAAGAAATTTTAGGGGCTAGAGAGATGGCTCAGCGGTTAAGAACACTGACTGTTCTTGCAGAAGACCCAGGTTCGAATCCCAGCCTCCACATGGCAGGTAACAACTGTCCGTAACTCCAGTCCCAGGGGATCCGATGTCCTCTTCTGACCTTCTCAGGCAATGCACAACACGGGTGCACTTACCTACACGCAGGCAATACAGTGGTACACATAAAATAAAAACAGTAAAATATAATATCTCCTTGTGGGGCCGGGGGTTAAGCTGCAGCGCCATAGCACGTTGCTCGCGCATATGTTGCCAGCTACAGGGGCACGGGCAAAAAATAAAATAAATAGTTTTTGGTTTTTTTTTGGTCTTTTTGAGACAGGGTATTCCTGCCTCAAAAAGACCTCCCCCTCAATTTTTTTTGTGTGTATGACTGCATTATTTTTATTTTATGTGTATGGTTGCATTGTCTGCGTGTATGTAAGTGCACCCCTGTCGTGCAATGCCCCCTGAGGTCAGAAGAGGCTGTCAGATTCCCCTGGGACTGGAGTTAGGGGGTTGTTAGCACCATGTGGGTGCTGGGAATTGAACCTGGGTCCTCTGCAGGAGCAGCCAGTGCTCTTTACCACTGAGCCATCTCTCCAGCTCTCTTTAACCTTTTAAAATGTTTTTACTAGCATATATTAATTATACATAACAATGGATTTTATGACATTCATACATGTATATAGTGGGTTGTGTTTTTTTAGTCTTTGAGACTGGGTCTCCCTGTATCCCCAGCTGGCCTGGAAGTCACAATGTAGACCAGGCTGGCCCCGAACTCACAGAGATCCACCTGCCTCTGCCTCCTAAGTGCCGGGATTAAAGGCATGTGCCATCACGCCTGGCGTATATAATGTGTTCTGAGCACACACACCCCTACACGCTTGTCTCTGCCCACTCCACTTACTCCTCTTCCCAACTAGCTCCCTGTTTTCTAGTCATGAGTATGTGTGTATGTGTCTGTGTCTGTGTGTCCCAATGATTTTGCTTAGGGGAGCCACGAATTCCTCTAAGGGAAAAATGTGTGAATGAAGAAGTTTCCATGTAACAGCTCCTGGTTCCCAGAGTTCCACAGGGGTTAGCACAGCCTCTTCCCCATATCTTGCTGCCTCCCACCTCCAAAGTGCCCTGGCCATACCCAGCCTCCTTGAAGTCAAGGCCAGCTTCAAGGATCAGCTTCACTGGCAGAGGAAGAGTGTATGGTGTATGAGAAGGGATCTGTTGTACAAAAAGGACCACAGTTTCTGTGTCCCCCTCCCTTGGGGCACCTTTCTTCGGAATCACATCTAGGAACTCTTTGAGGGCAGGGCATGTCACCAGCAATGAGCCCTGACCTTATACTTTGTCTTCTGATAGTGTCAAACAGCTCCTGGGAGACAGATCCATTTCCTCACCTGAGGTTCACTGGACCCGAGGCCCAACACTCAGGCACCCAGGAGATCCCAAAAGACAAATGTCGAGGGTTTCCTCCCTTTGAAGGGTCTGGCAGCTGATTCTCTGCGTCCCAGAGCGTTTTTCTGCTCTGCTGGGGCACGAACCCAGGGCTTCATGCATGCTCTGCAACCCTCTAGCCCATCTGGTGGTTGTTTCTAACCCCATCCGTGTTCACCATAAACCTGGTGGCACAGGAGGCCTCAGAGAGGCGCGCACCAAACAGAAACAACTCTCAGCTAAATCCATTATGGCACCCTCCAGTTCCGCCCTAGCCCCTGCTGCTCCTCGATGGACAGGGCCGGTGAGGAGCTCCCATCTGTGCTCACACCTGGCACCAGGACCAGGCTGTGCGCTCCAGTCAAACTCAGGTGACTGGGCAGGCGCTGGGCACACCTGGCGCCCGTCCCCTGACCCCGCCCCGGGCAGCCGCACCCCAGATCGCAGTCTGGGAGCGCAGGCGGCGGCAAGGCCACCGAGGGCCATGGCGGCTGCTCCCACTGGGTGTAGCTCGCAGGGGTCGGCAGCGGGATCCGCGTCTCCACCGGCGCCCGCGTCGGCTCCCGCGGCCGGCCTGGGCCGCTGCCGCGTGGCGCTGCTGCTAGCGGTGGCCTTGGACGTGGCGGGCATGGCGGCGCTGCTGACCGGCGTGTTCGCGCAGCTGCAGGTGCGCGGCCGCGACTTCGGGGACCTGCTCATCTACTCGGGGGCCTTGCTGGTCTTCCTGAGCCTGCTGGGCTGGATCCTCTGGTACACCGGCAACATCGAAATCTCGCGCCAGGAGCTGGAACGCGACTACGGCCTGCGGCCCTCTGCCATCGCCCGCCTGGCGCGCAAACTGTCCCGCCGCTGGTCGGCGCCCTCTGCCGCCACCGGTCGCCGGGCGACTCCGGGTCCCCGCGGAGCGCGCCGACCCGTGCGCACGCCCCAGCAGCCCACCACAGGCTCCCGCCGCGTGCGCCTGCAGCTCGCCACGCTCGAGGCCGCTCCCGGGGCGGCGGGCTCTGGCAGCGAGTGAACCCCAGGTGAGAGACGTGGAGAGAGGGAGGACAGAGGAGTGGCGGGGAGACCGACACCCCCTCCCAGAAGGTGGAGACTGAGAGTCGCATAACTGAGACCTTCAGGATGGGCGTGGTTGCAGACTCGAATGGGACCAGTGCGTCCTGGTTGCTGGAGATGACACCAGGGAATGGAGGCAGGGTTAGGCATCCCCTGTACCACGCTTTAGGTGGTGTCCCAGGTGCACCAAGCCCCATCGCATCCTCTCTCTGTACCCAGTGCTCTGAGGTCATTACTGTTACCGTACAATGAGGCCGGGCTTACCGTAACCTTGGCCCAGGCTGCACGGTGCAGGAGAACACCAAGTGCACCGACAAGCAATCCTTTGGTGCAAAGGCAAAGGCGAAGGACCAATGGGGACAGGAATAGTGAAGCGGCAAGCCATCACCTTCCCTCCCTCTCTGCCTTCCATTGGTATATAGGGTCTGGTTATATCCGCGGTATACACTGCATTCCTGTTTTGCAGTGCAAGCATTCTACCAACTGAGCTATGTCCCTAGCCTGTATTCCCTTTAAAAAAAAAAAAAAAAAAGTTTTTTTATTTTTCCTTTTGGTCTTTTTGAGACGGGGTCTCCCTGTAGCCCCAGCTGGCCTGGAATTCTCTATGTAGATCAGGCTGGCCTTGATCTCACAGAGATCCACCTGCCTTTGTCTCCTGAGTGCTGAGACTAAAGGCGTGTGCCACCACACCAGGCTGTATTCCCTTCTTTAAAAAACATGTTTATGCCAAAAAAATTTTTTAAATGCAGGCCGGGGGTGGTGGCACACATTTTTAATCCCAGAACTTGGGGGGAGGAGCAGGCAGATCTCTGTGAGTTCAAGGCCAGCCTCATCTACATAGGAGTTCCAGGCCAGCTAGGACTGCAAGAAGACCCTGTCTCAAAAAGACCAAAAAAAATTTTAGTACTTTATTTTTTAATTTTTTCATATTTTATTTATTATTATTTTATGTGTATGCATGTATTGGCTGCATGCATGTAGGTAAGTGCACCCATGTTGTACAATGCCTGAGGAAGACAGAAGAAGCTGTCGGATCCCCTGGAACTGGAGTTACAACAGTTGTCAGCTGCCATGTGGGTACTGGGATTCAAACCCGGGTCTTCTGCAAGAACAGCCAGTGTTCTGAACTGCTGAGCCATCTCTCCAGCCCTATTATTTTTATTTTTGATGTGTTTGAGTGTATTGCCTGTGTGTATATAAGTGAACTGTGTCCTGCAATGCCTGCGATGTCAGAAGAGGGTGTCGGATGCCCTGGAACTGGAATTATGAATGGTTGTTAGCCACCATATGGGTGCTGGGAATCAAACTCAGGGCCTCTGAAAGAGCAGCTGGTGCTCTTAATGGCTGAGCCATCTCTCCAACCCCTGTAAAAAATTTATGCCAGGCATGGTGGTGCACCCCTTTAATCCTAGCACTTGGGAGGCAGAGGCAGGCGGATCTCTGTGAGTTCAAGGCCAGCCTGATCTACATAGCAAGTGCTAGGCCAGCTGGGGCTACAGGGAGACCTCTACTTTTAATTTTTTTAATTTTATTATTTTTATTTTATGTGTATGAGTGTATTGCCTGCGTGTGAGTGCACCCGTGTCGTGCATTGCCTCGGAGGTCAGAAAAGGGCTTTGGATTTCCCTGGAACTGGAGTTAAGAATGGGTCGTAGCCACTATGTGGATGCTGGGACTCGAACCCGGGTCCTCTGCAAGAGCAGTCAGTGCTCTTAACAGCTAAGCCATCTCTCCAGTCCCCACTTTTAATTTTTTTTAATTTATTTTTATTTTATGTGTATGAGTGTTAGGCCTACATATATATAAGTGCACCTGTGTCATGCAGTGCCCAAGGAAGACAAAAGAGGGCGTCAGATCCCCTGAAACTGAAGTTATGGATGATTGTTAGCCGCCATGTACCAGGGTGCTAGGATTCAAATTTGGGTCTTCTGCAAGAGCAGCAAAAGATGTCTCTTAACCACTGAGCCATCTCTCCAGCCTGGGACCTCTATTTTTTAGTTCCCATTCTTTTATTTTCTCTGTACTTAACAATATCTCTCAGATCACAGACAGCCAGGCTCAGTTGATGACCTCTATACCAGGAGGGGCCTTGCTATGGCAATACACCCAGAAAACTTCCTGCATGTTCTTTAGACACCAGCTCACCTTCTGTGCCCTCTTCTGGGCGTTCAAATTATTGCTGCTTGGATAACCATGTGGTATGTTTGTGTGGGAGGTGATTCTCCCAACTGACAGGGAGCCCCTTGAGGGTAAGACCCCAGGTGTCTTTGTTCCACTTGGAAAAGTTTGATGGTGCGGGACAAGTGGAAGGACGGATCATTAAATAGACAGGTGGATGGAAGATGGATGGGTTTGTTAGTTGATGGGTGGAGGATGGATAAATGGATGGATCCATGCATTTTGGCTGATGGATGGGTAAATGAAGAATGGGTGGATGTATAGGTTGGCTGGTGAATGATGTGGCTTTGTGAATGGACAAGTGTATAAGAGAGTTGGTTGACAGATTGTGGGGGGGGGTGGATAGAAGAATTAATGACTTGGTTGATTAAATAGCTGGAATGGTGAATGGTTTGATTGAATGGATTGATGCATTTGGGGTTTTTTAAATTTTTAATTTACTGTTATTTTCATTATTTTTACTTTATCTGTATGAGTGTATTGCCTGCATGTATGTAAGTGCATCAGTGTCATGCAATGCCTGCAGAGGTCAGAAGAGGGTGTCGGATTCCCCTGGAACTGGAGTTACAGATTGTTGTTAGCTGCCATGTGGCTGCTGGGAACCAAACCCAGGTGCTCTGCAAGAGCAGCTAGTGCTCTTAACCACTGAACCAACTCTCTAGCCCCTAATTTATATTTTTATGTATCTATGTGTACCTGCTGAGTTTATGTGTACCATATACATGCAGGAGCCTGTGGAAGACAAAAGAGGGCGTCGGGAACGAGGCATAATCGCTCCCACACTCAGAGAGCAGAGGCAGGTGGATCTCTGAGTTCCAGGCCAGCCTGGTCTACATAGTGAGTTCCAGGCCAGCTTGAGATGCTATCTCAAAATGGACAGCTGCTAGGGGTTGGGATATAGCTCAGATGGTAGTGCTTGCCCGGCTTCAATTCCCAGTACCACATAAACCAGGCCTGTTGGCTAACCCCTATAATCCAAGCACTCCAGAGGCTGAGGCCAGAAGATCACTGCAAGTTCGAGGTCAGCCTGATTGATATATGGGTTCCAAGCCAGCCAGGACTCTAACAGTGAGACTCTGAAAACACCACAGAGACGGGAAAATAAAAGATTTAATGAACGAACAACTATACAGAGGTGAAGCTGAGCTAATGCAACATATCATGCCAAAATAACCACCTGTAGACAAAATGCCCCTTGAAAATCCTTGACGTGGCTCAAAAGTCTACCATATATTTGTGGGCCTCAAAGCAGAACCTGAATTTTGACCCAAGGTTATATTTTAACTCTGGTAGCGTCCCTCTTCCTCAAAATTCACAAATGGGAAAATCTTCCTTTATCTCCTCCTCCTCCTCCCCCCCTCCTCTTCCTCCTCCCCTCTTCCTCTTCCTCCCCCTCCTCCCCCCCTTCCTCCTCTTCTTCTCCCTCCTCTTCCTCCCCCTCCTCTTCCTCCTTCCCCTCCTCCTCTTCCTCTTCTCCTTTTCCTCCCCCTCCTCTTCCTCTTCTTCTCCTTTTCCTTCCCCCCCTCCTTTCTCTTCCTCCCCCCCTCCTCCTCCTCTTCCTCCCCACCCTCCTCCTCTCCCCCTCCTATCTCTGCCCAGCTCTGGAACAAGTCTCAGTATGTAGCATAGGCTGGCATGGAATTCCCTATATAGACCTAGCTGTGTTGTGATCTATCTCTCTCTCTCTCTCTCTCTCTCTCTCTCATACTATGGTATACATATATGGAGACCACAGGATAACCAATGAGACTTGGTTATATCCTTCCACCATGTGGGTCCAAGAAATCAAATTCAGGTCATCAGGCCTGGAAGCAAGTGTCCTTATCTACTGAGCTCTTTCTCTAGCCTCTTGGTTTGTTTCTTGGTTTGTTTTTTGTTTGTTTTTTGTTTTGTTTTTATTTTGTTTTGAGACAGAGTCTCCTGGTAGCCCCAGCTGACCTGGAACTCACTATGGTAGACCAGGCTGGCCTCAATCTCATAGAGATTCACCTGCCTCTCCTTCTCCAGTGCTGGGATTAAAGGCACATGCCACCATACCTTGGTTTGTTTTTTGTTTTTTTTTTGCTGGCCTTGAACTCACTATGTAGACCAGGCTGGCCTTGAGCTCACAGAGGTCCGCCTGCCTCTGCCTCCCAAGTGCTGGGACTACAGGCGTGCACCACCATGCCCAGCTTTGTTTTTATTTTTTAAGTTTTATTTGTATTTTATGTGTATGAATGAGTGTTTTGCCTGCATGCAATGCCCATGGAGGCCAGAAGAGGGTGTGAATCCCCTGGAACTGGAGTTATGGATGGTTCGTAGCTACTATGTGGGTGCTGGGAACCGAACCCAGGTCCTCTGCTAGAACTGCTAACGCTCTTAACTACTGAGCCATCTCTCTACCCTCGCCCCATCCCTGGTTTTGTTTTTGAGACAGGATCTCACACTCTGTAGCACAGACTGCCCTCAAACTATACTCTCAGTCCTTCCTTAAAGTCAAAATCCTCTGCTGCAGCTCCCCGCCCCCGAGTGTTGGGATGCCTGTTTCTCCTCCCTCTATCCCTGCCTGTTTTTTCCATCTTTGCTTGTTTCTCTGTCTCTGTGACTCCCCAGATCAGATCTGTCTCTGCCTTTCCTTGTCATACATTTGCCGTACCAACGGATTCTGATGAGTTAAAGGCTTACACAGTTGTGCACACATGCATACTCTGCAGGCCCTGCAGCAAGCAGAGGGGTAAGCAAGATTGTGCATCACTGAGTGAGGGGCTACCTGGCCTTTCCTGGGGAGGAGACATTCCTGGGAACTCAGGGACAGAGGAGAGCAGTCCCAACCAGCTGCTAACCTCACCTTCCCTTCCCACAGACAACCTCACCTGCAGGACCTGACGGAGATGTGCAGTTGCCCAGTACATCGGCCAGCCACCAGGACACCTACCTGTCCCCCTCACTTGGATAAATGCTTCTGCCTTGGAGTGCTGCTTGTCTGTCTGAGAAAGAGCCAAGCTGAGGGGCAGGGGACGGGGGAGCGGGGATCTGGGAGCTCCCACAGAGAGACTGCCCTAGACCTTGGGAACCCTACAGCTGCTGGAACTATAGGGTCCAGACTTCTCTCTGGCCCTTCACAGGGGCACCAGGGAAACTAGGAGAAGGTTCTTGAACTCAGACCCACTTACCCGGCCCAGACCACCCCAGGGTACTTCGGATCCTCCAAGAAGGGCAGACAAACAGGCACACTGGACTTGAAAGGTGTTTACTGAGGGTGACCCTTAAAGAGGGTGGTTTGGATTCAAGACTGACACAAGACTAGGAGGAAAGAGAGGCGGCTGGGCAGGATGAATCTGGAAGCAGACCATAACACACTTCCAAGAAAAGGCTGGCCCGTGGGGACTGTGGGAGCTGAAGTGCTCGCTGGGCAATGCCGACACTCTTTTGTACATGCTCAGGCATTGGTGCAGAGGAGGAAATAAAGTGTTGAGGGGGGTCACTCGGTGGGGCTTCCTAAAGCAGGATTGCTCTGGACACATTTTCCCTCACTATGTGTCTCCGTGGTACTCCCAACTCATGCATTTCCAGCTGACTTTACTACAGTCCCTCCATACTCCTAACCCAGAAACCCCTTCATCCCCCTCCACAACACAGATCCACACTATTTACCCCCAGACCCCACTCAATCGAGATCCTGCCTTACTTCACCTCCCCATCCCAGGTCTCCCCCTCCACAGCCCAGCTTCCACTCAGCCCTGACCCCCCTAAGCTGCCTCAAAGCATACAGGTACTCTATGTAAGATTCCCACAAAGCCACCTGCTCCTCAGATCTCAGAAAAGACACACATCTATCTGTCATATCTGTATTAAGGGTCCTCCAGGGCTGCCCCTAATCCTCCTCTCCTCCCTCGGTTTCATCGCCGGCTTCCGTGAGCAGAGTTTCTTCGGTCCCTGAGGGTTCTGTTATGGGCACAGAGACAGGTGTGGTGACTGACGCTGTCTTTTTGCTGACTGTTTGTCTGTCCTTAGACAGCAGGGAGACTGTCTGTGACAGGTCACATTTTCCCTGGAGGAACTGTGGTAGGTGCAGCATGTCATGGCGCTTGGCCCACCTAGTGTGGAGAGGACATGCTCAGCCTGAGCCACCTGCACTTTGTGGAGACCCAGGCCTCTCCCATGGCCTGACCATGCTTACCAGATGAGGCAGATGCTGGAGATCAGGAAAAGCAGGCTGCCACAGGTCCAGCCCAGTGCCCACATATGCTTCCTGCGCATGTTTTCTAGGGAAAAAAGAGGATGGATGTCCAGAGTTGCAGCAATCAGCCTCCCCATCCTCTGAAACACCTGGTTTCCAGCCACTCACCATCCAGCCGTTGGTGGTAGCACACACCGTCTCGGTAACAGCATCGCAGGCGCAGGCAGAGGTTGGGGTTCTTAATTGCTGCTGGACCCCCACAGCTCTCTCGGTTCCACACATCTCCCTCACAACCTGGGGGCCACCACAGTAGACACTTGGTTATAGAATTGACTCTGCAGGCTACAAACAAGAGGGTCCCAAGCCCCAGACTGTGTGGCTGTGTGCAAGGAACTACAGTGTATAGGACTCAGGAGTCTGGACTCAAGCCTTCTTTTCTCAGACCTGGAGGTCCAGGTCCTATTCCTCCCTCAGACCTCAGTCTCAGGGGTTCAGATTCCAACCTTCCTTAGATCCAGGGGTCTAGGTCCCAGCCCTCCTCCCTCAGACATATAAGTGCAGGCCCTAGGCCTCTTCCCTCAAACCTGAGGGTGTAGCCCCAGCCTCCTTCCTCAGATATGGGGATCCAGTAGCCAGCTTTCCTCTCTCAAACCTACAAGTCTAGGCACAGCCCTCCTCCATTATACCTGAGAGTTCAGAACCCAACCATCTTCCCTCAGAACCAGGGGTTCAGGGACTTCTTCACTCAGAGTAGAAGTCCAGGCCCCAGCCCTCCTTCCTTAGGCCCAGAAATTCAGGCCCCAGCCTCTTTTCTCAGACCTGGGGGTCCAGACAGCAGTCCTCCTCCCCCAGACCCAGGGGTTGAGGCCCCAGCCCTCCCTCCTTCAAATCCAGGAGTTGAGGCCTCAGCCTGCCTCCCTCAGACCCAAGGACCCACACCCCAGTCTTCTTCCCTCAGACCCTGCGGTCTAATTTGGGGTTCCCTCCCTGGAGTCCCAAGATTTCAACTCCTACTCACTCCATGGGTAGAAGAATCCCTGGATCCCATTCGCATCTGTGAGAGAAAAAGAGTGGTGTTGGGGGGTTGTATGGCAGCCACGGTGGCCCGGCCCACAGCCTACTGATGTCTTCATCAACACCCTCACCTACTGAGGCCTGCATCAGCAGGAGAAGGCCCAACGCTGTGATCGCAGAGCCCACCATGTTGCCTCCCCAGACCTCTGGGGCCTCTATGGAGAGTAACCTTGAAGGTCATCATCCTAGTAACAGCTGAGCCCCGCCCCAAAGCCTCAACCCCAGAATTCTGCTGTTCTGTTGCTAGGGAGTCCCCTCAGCAAGGGGTTCAGAGGGAGGGGTGCCTTGGGCCCATCATTTCTATCTAGGAGGTAGCTTCCTTGACATCCACAAAGAAGAGGTGGGTGGGCATAGGAGGGGTGGTCTCAGATTTAGAGCCTTCTCAAGAAGGGAAGCGGGAAAGAGAAATCAGGACAGAGTCTCGGACTGGCATTGTCTCTGCTCATCTGAGACTTGACAGGGTACAGATCTAGGATTGGGGAGATCTCGGAGCTGGAGAACCCCTGTCTTTCCCAACCCAATGATAGAGGAGGTGGCCTCAGGTGGCCCAGGCTCTGTAAACCTCATTGTTACAGTGTCTCTCCTTCACCACCAGGAAGAAGGGCCTCGGGATGTTGGGGTCTCATTGAGACCCGTTGTTAAGAAGGTTTCCTCAGCAACCAAATCAGGAGGAGGAAGGGACAGTGGGGGCTGGATGGGGTGGCCCCTGGTCCCACTGTCCTCCTAGAGGGTACCTCTCCTCAGGCAGGAGGTCTTTGCTCTAGGGAACACATACCAGGCTTGGGACTGACCTTGTCTAGCCTTGCTGAGCCTGAGGGTGTGGACAGGGTCAGAGGCTGATGGTGACCCCTGCCTAAATCCATGACCCCAAAGGGACTCAGTTTCCCCATCTGTAAATGAGGAGACACAAACTAGAAAACCTCAAGTTTTTTTCTTTCCTGTTTTGTCTGCCCAGGACTGATGAAGGGTCAGGTTTCCAAGAAGAAGAAGACAGACTGAAAACTGGGTTGTCGCCATGACTCCTAGTTTACTCTAGCTCAGTGTCCATTTGGTATAGTGAAAAGGAACCTCAGTTCCTGAGAGAGTTCTGGAATTGGCCCTGGAGTCTGAGGGAGGAAGGCTGGGTCCTGAACTCCTGGGTCTGAGGGAGGAGGGCTGGGGCCTGGACTCCTGGGTCTGAGGGAGGAAGGTTGGGGACAGGACCCTTGGGTCTGAAGGAAGAGGGCTGGGTCTGGACTCCTGGGTTTGATGGAAGAGAGTTAGGGATAGGACCCCTAGGTCTGATAGAGGAGAGTTGGAGATAAGACCCTTGGGTCTGAGGAAGAAGAGCAGGGTCTGGACACTTAGGTCTAAGGGAGGAGGGCTGGATCCTGGACCCCTGGGTCTGATGGAAGAGAGTTAGGGATAGGACCCCTGGGTCTGATAGAGGAGAGTTGGAGATAAGACCCTTGGGTCTGAGGAAGGAGGTCAGGGGCCTGAATTACTGGTCTGAGGGAGGAGGGCTGAGATTTGGACCCCAAGTTCTGAGGAAGTCTGGGTTCTGGACTCCCGGTCTGAGGAAAGAGGGCTGGGACCTGGATTGCAGAGTCTGTAGGAGGAGGGGGTCTAAGGCCAGACCCTATTTCCCAAGAAGCCTGTGAGGTCGACTCCTTTTCATCCTGGTGTCCTCCTGTAAACATCCTAGAGGGTGCTGAGTGGGCCCTGGGCTGACTCCGTCAGAGATGACACAGGTCCGAGGGGGCTCGGCAGGGGGCCCCGGGGGTGGGGGTCAGAGGAGTTGTGGGGCTGAGGCAGGGCAGCTGCTGACCATTTCCTGTGTCAACACCATCTGGACCCACTTCCCAATTCCCTAGATTCCTCAGGGATCAAGGAGGGGGTGGGGGGGTGGGGCTGCCCGGCGCTGGACCGCGGATTGGGATTGGGGTGGGGTGGGGGCACCGTCAAGGCCTTCACCGCTAATGACAGGTTTGGGCTGTTTCTGTGGCTGACCTGCCCCGTCACCCCCCAGAGGCCAGACAGGACCCCCCAGGGACAGACAGACGGACACACACAGCCTGGGATGTGCTGACATCACACCCAGCCAGCACCACCTCACCCAGGGGCCAGTACACCATCAAGTACCCCCTGGCTAGCACCCCCCCCATCCCAGGGATACCGCCTGGAATGTCTCTGAACACTTCTGATCTCCCTTGTCTCTCTTTTTGACTTCTCAATTTGGTCCCCTAGCACCCACCTTTTCCTGCATCTGTCTTCTCATTGTGGGTCACTGTGATCCTGTTCTTGTCTTTGCAGTCTTTCGTCATTTCTTGGGATTCCCACTCCCTTTCTCTCTCTCTCTCTCTCTCTCTCTCTCTCTCTCTCTCTCTCATTCCCATACCCTTACCCAGAGAAGACCCAGGAGTTCCAAGCCCTTTTGTGGTCACCCTGGGGAAGATGAGTCTTCCCCACAACCCCCAGGGTGAGGAGGCAGGCAGGACCAGAAACTGGCCCCAGCTCCATCACCCCTGATTTGACCCAGGCTCATGAACTTCCCCCCTCAAACATAGAGGTCCCTCACATGCAGGACAACATATTTCCATCCACTTATATGAACATGAGAGTTTAGTGCTCTGGGAACAAGGAAAGGGGCCGGACCTGGAGCCCTGGGTCTGAAGGAAGGAGGTTAAGTCTGGCCTCCTGGGTCTGTGGGTGGAAAGCTAGGGTCTAGATCCCTGGGTCAGTGGGAGGGGGACTGGGATGTGGATCCCAGTCTGATGGATGAGAGCTGGGTATCTGGGTATCAGACTCTGGGTTTGTGGGAAGAGGACTGGGGTCTCTAGACTTTGGGGGTTTGAAGGATGGGGGAGGTGCAGACTGAGGAGATGATGTGAGTTCCTGTATCCCTGTTGGGGGAAGGGACTTGCAGTCCTTGGTGTTGGTCCCGGTCTGGCTGCAAGCCCAGTCCCTTGTCCCCTCAGGCCAGTCCATCCCCCAGGCTGGTGGCCTGAGTCACCTTGGCTAGCCCCTCCCAGTCTGGGGGGGGGGGCTACGTCAGCTCTCCCCTCACTGACGCAGCCTTGGGCCCCCCACACTGACTCAGCCGGAAACAGGCCCCCTGAGGGGTGGAGACCCAGTGGTCAAAGGCCTGGGTCCGTACAGGAGCCAGGGCTGGAGAGGGCCCCTGGGGGGCCCCTCAAAGGGGGTGGCCTGACAGACCAAGAGAGAGAAAGAATTCTTACCTGAGGCGATGAGGTCATGTCCCACCACGGGGGGGGGGGGGGGGGGGGGGGGGCTGTGACCTCACCTCCTCAGGGAACTGAGCAGTAGTCCCCGAGTGGTGGTAGGTGGGGAGAGGAAGCCTCTAGCTGCCAATCAATCCCAGAGACACGACCATCCCCTCCAGGCAGTGTAGCAGTCCCAAAGGACAGGCATGTGTGGTCTGCAGAGATCTTTTGAAGTCCATGTCACCTCTTTGTGCCCTGTGCTGTCCCATCTCCTTCCTGAGAAGGAAGCTCCTGGGGACATACTCTGGTTGACCTTTCTGTTCCTCCCTTCAGGGGCTGTGACTCCTGAGCACTCTATCCCAGTTTTTCATCCATTGAATGCCTTATGTGGGCATTGCTAGGGTCCCTGAAGTGGGGTGTCCCACTCTTTCCTGACAGCTCTTGTGTCCCCCTTCTGGCATGGCCTTGTCCAGGCCTCTAGCACCCACACACCCACAGACTCACTTTTGCTGTCTCTCTCTAGCTCTCCCAGTGGCTCCTGTGTCTCTGGATTGCTGACAACTGTAACCATGAGCTAGAGAGGTTAAACTTATCAAGGGCTCTTTTGTGTGGCCCCTCACTGTGGCCTTTAGGAATGAGAAGGTACCATGCGTATGGTTGCACACGTGTGTGCGTGCGTGCATGCTTGTGTGTGTTGTATGGCTGTATGGTGTGTGTGTGTGTGTCGTATGTATATGTGTGAAGTGTATGGTTGTGTGTGGTGTAAGTGTATGGGTGATATATGGTAAATGTATGTGTATATATGGTGTATGAGTGTGGTGTATGGTTTTATGTGTGTATGTAGTGTATGTGTATGTGTGGTATATGGTGTATATGTGTGGTGCATGGTTGTATGTGGTATATGTATTTGTGCGTAGTGTATGGTTGTATGTGCATATGTGTATGTGTGGTATATGGTAAATGTATGTGTATGTGTGGCGTATGTGTCTGGTGTATGGTTGTGTGTGTGTGTGGTATATGTATTTGTGTGTAGTGTATGGGTGTGTGTGTATGTGGTATATGTGCGGGGTGTATGGTTGTGTATGGTGTATGTATATGTGTAGTGTATGATTCTGTGTGTATGTGTATGTGTGGTGTGTGTGGTGTATGTGTGGTATATTGTATATGTGTGGTGTATGTGTTTATGTGTGTTTGGTAGATGGTAAATGTATGTGTATGTGTGTAGTGTATGGTTGTATGTGTGTATATGTGGTGTATGTATACGTGTGGTGTATGGTGTGTGTGGTGTAGGTGTGTATGTGGTGTATTGTGTGTATGTGTGGTGTATTGTGTGTGTATGTGTGTGGTAGATATGTGTATGTGTGTGGTAGATATGTGTGTGTGGTGTCTAGTGTGTATAGTATATATATATGTCTGTGTGGTATATATATATGTGTATGTAGTATATGGCATGTGTAGTATCTGGTGTATGTGTGTATGTATGTGGTTTAGGTATACATGTAATTTATATGTATGTGGTTATGGGATGTATGATGCATGTATTTGTATATGGTGTATGTGTGTGTAGTGTATGATGTATGTAATGTATGTATGTGTGGTGTATGGTGTATATGATGTATGTATCAGTATATGTGTGGTATATGTATGTGTGTAGTGCATGTATGCATGTGGTGTATGTATATTTGTGGTGTATGGCATGTATGTGTAGTGTATATGGTGTCTGGTATATATATGTGTGTTGTGTATGTGTGTATCCTATTTGGTGTGTGATGTATGTATGTATGTATGTATACATAGTATATTGTGTGTGGTGTATGTATGTGTGTGGTGAATGTATGTGTGTGGTGTATGTATGTGTAAATGATGTATTGTGTGTAGTTTATGTATGTGTGGGTGGGTGCCCGCACCTGTTTGCACTTGTGCTGAGGCCAGAGGAGGACCTGGGGTGTCTTGTTTTAGCACTTTCTGCATTATGCCCTTGAAAGAGGGTCTCTCACTGAACCTGGAGCTAGGCTGGAAGGCAGCAAGGCCTGGTCATCCTCCTATCTCCAGCCACATCACTGGGGTGACAGATACCCAGATTTTTATATGGGTGCTAGGGATTCTATTCAGGTCCTCACGATTATGCAACAAGCTCTTTTACCCACTGAGGCATTTCCCCAGCCCTGAGAGGTACTCTTATTAGCCCATTACAGATGAAGAAACAGGCAGGGGGTAGCATCATAGGCTAAAGTTCTGTCCTGTGGAGAGCCTCCACGCCTCTTTCTCTTGGGCCCCACTTTCTTACTGCATCACTCAGTCCCGGCCACTTCAGCATCCTCATCTAACCTCTATCTCTGGCCCACCCATCTTTGGTCAGCCGGCTTTGCTGTCTCTCTAGGCTGTGCATGTTCTTGTGCAGTCTGTCTCTTCTCTTCCTGTCCCTACACCTCTCCCCCTCAGGATCTCTGGTTCTCCACAAGTTCCTCCTGTTGTCCACTTTACTCATTGACCTCAGACTTCCAGAACCTTGCCCCAGGGTCTCCAAGGTCCTCTCCAGCTCAAGCTCATCACTCTGGCTGGTCCCATGTCTGTATTTGTTTCCCTGACCCTGCTTTCTTCCGTTTCCTTTCTGAGATGGGGTCTCAGGTAGCCCAGGCTGGTCTGAGCCACACTACATAGCTAAGGATGACTTTGAACTCCTGATCCCTCCACCTCCCAAGTACTGAGATTGCACAGTAAGTCCCATCACACCTGGTTTATGCGGTGCTGGGAATGGAACTAAGCAAGCACTCTAGCAATTGAGCCACATTTCTAAGCCCTCAGTTTTCCTGTCTCTGCATCTCAGAGACTCCATATCTAATATGCCCCACTGCTCTCCAGGGTTTGTCAACCTGCCTCTGCCTTAGAGTCTCCATCTCAGTCCCATCACGCTCAATCCTAGAGACCCTTCGCTTTCTGTTCGCGCTTCCTCTCACCTACACCCCACCCCCAGGCTCCGGGCTTGCCTCTCCTCCTCCTGCCTCCCCATCTCTCAATGCTAGTCCTGGTCTAGCCAGACCCCCACCCACAGCCAGGCCCCAGCCCGTGGAGGTGGAGGGAGGGGACGCCAATGACCTCACCGGCCCCTCTCAGACCCCCCCCCCTTCACTTTTCAACTTTTCCAACTTTTCCTTCCGTGCCCTCCTCCGAGCAAGGCGGTGTGAGCCCTGCTAGGCAGCCGACTTGTCTGAATGGAAAAGGCAGGAGGGAGGGTGAGTCAGGATGTGTCAGGCCGCCCTCCCCTGCCGCCTGCCCCCCGCCC